TGCGGCCGAAATAACAATGCACAGAAACTTGATGAGATTAGAGAGGGAGCTTTATATGCAGGGCATGCTGGTAAATCTGCCTGAAAGAGAACTCGCATAACCAGAGAAGCTGGCCAGTCTACCGTTAAATCTCATGGAAAGTCAACGCCCTAAGGCATGGTCAGAATCGACGCAGGTATTTCGGGACAAAGGATAGCCCAAGATGAAACCAGGCCACCTTTAACCCACGGCAACGTGGTCTACGAGGGTGATTCAGTAAAGAATTACTAACCAACTGCCAGTAATCGTGAAAGGTGGAAACTATATATATATATATATATATATATATATATATATATATATATATATATATACATATACATATACATATATACATATATATGCTGTAAGCCCCGACTTTGAGCTATGCGCACAATTTGTCAAAACCGATGTTAATAGTTCATGTCTTTTGAAAGCTAGGACTGTCTTCTCGAACCTGCGACAATTATGGCGTTAGTGAGTATTTCCTTGGGTCTGAAAGACCTTGTGTACAATGCCACGTTGAGGTCTGTCCTGTTCAGTGAAATAATTTACTACTTCAGTCTGATTATCTTATTCGCATTCAAATCATCACTGCCTGCGATGCGTTGCCGGTATCGGATGCCACTATCGTATGCGCATTGGTAAGTTCCTTTTCTCTCCTTATTATTCTTCGTTCCGTAGGTCATAATGGTTGTGTTGCTGCGGAGCATAATCTCAAATGGATGATTGATGATGATGATGATGATGATGATGATGATGATGATGATGATGATGATGATGATGATGATGATGATGATGATGATGATGACGATGATGATGATGATGATGATGATGATGATGATGATGATGATGATGATGATGATGATGATGATGATGATGATGATGATGATGATGATGATGATGATGATGATGATGATGATGATGACGACGATGATGATGATGATGATGATGATGATGATGATGATGATGATGATGATGATGATGATGATGATGATGATGATGATGATGATGATGATGATGATGATGATGATGATGATGATGATGATGATGATGATGATGATGATGATGATGATGATGATGATGATGATGATGATGATGATGATGATGATGATGATGATGATGATGATGATGATGATGATGATGATGATGATGATGATGATGATGATGATGATGATGATGAAAATTATGGGACAGACGACACCCCGCCCTGGTGTATCACTTTACTCTTCAAAGGAAATAAGCGCATGCCATACTTAGACACTTCAATCGACAAAAGGTTCAAACGCTCTGTACACTACGAATTGTCGCCGAGCAGAGCGATATCACCAGTATAATCTAAGCCGGTCACGCGACTACCAGGAAGAACATCAACATCAAGATTTCGGTAGCCTTCCAAAGATCTCAACAGGACGTCCTCAACTGTTAAGTTGAAGTTTAATGGTGGAAGTGTACTTTTCGGAGAACCCGTTTCTTGGAAAACAGTACCGTAATGCAGGCCGAATACCCGAGTCAAATGCAGTTCGAATGTCCGCGAAGACGACAATGTTTGGCCTGTGATAAAGGTGACGGTGTTCATGGATCTGACGTGGTATGAAGATCTGGTCCACATATCCTCGACCGGGACGTGATCCAACTTGTTCTTCATGGCAAAATAACTCGCGAATCGGTGCTAGTCTGGGGAGCAGAATGGATACTAGCTGTTTGGAAGCAACCGGCATGAGACTAATTCCCCTGTAATTAACACATGATGTGCGAGCAGCTTTCTTGAAAACTGTGACACTTACTGACTCCTTCCAGGAAGATGGAATCTTCTCTTCGTGCCATATCTTGGAAAACAGCAATGTCAACTACTTAACAAGTGTTGGTCGCTAAACTTGGACATCTTCAGAGGAAGTTTGTCCGAGCTGGGAGAATTGAATCTCCTAGGTGTCGAATCTCGGCGAGGACCTCTGCTTCGTTAGGTTGCTCCATTGAACTAACCCAAGGCATATATTTGGAATACAAGCAAACAATGGGGGAGTATATGAAAATGTCCGGCACAACACTCTACACTTCTTTGCAGCTTAGTGATTGTTGGCTTATTCGCTTCGCAAGTAGTTTCGGTGACACCAGGCCTTCTGGGGCCGGTGAACCGAATGAGCTGGAAGAGACTGCGGAAATTGCCGGAGGGAGTAGCGGTCTACATCTCCGAGTTTCGCGATCATTACGTAAGCGTTGTTTGAGTTGCCGCTTTAAGGTCTCCCGCCTGGAGTTATGAGTTGAATCTGGTGGCACATTTCGCCGGCAGTCAAACAGTTTCAGCGAGGGAGCGGAGATGCAACTTTTCAAAGTGTGCTCGGTGAGACCACAGAGCGATTAACCAGAGGAAAGCGTCGCTTCGTGCAAACAATCCCAGTGTTTCTGGGTTGGACTACAGGTGAGAGCTTCCGATAGTGTAACTTGCTAGCTCAGTTGGCCGGAGGAGTCAACTAACCTTTTTGTGTCAATCTTACGGTGCAGTTATTTCCGGGGCCCACAATAGCACATGGAGATATTCTCACAAACCAACGCGTGATCTTTGTCAAGCTACATTGATTAGAATGACCTGCAGTCCTGTATACTACTTCGCCAACGGGAATTAGTTGAGATGTGGTCTGTCTGGGACCGGAATCGGGTTAACGACGGATTGCGACAGATTGCGGAACATGAAATTAATGCCTGGGATAAACAGGTGATTATCCTCGCACAATGTGGGAAGCCGGTCTCCGTTATCTGAGCGTGTCCTTAAGCACGCGATGACCTCTTAAGTGGCATCCATGTGGAATCAGGCGACCGACCCGTGCATTAAAATCCCCAACAACTATAACGACACCCGACTTGTCCATTTTACTCACAAGACGGAAGTTCGCGGTAAAAGTCGTTCTTGACGGAGTCGTGGCTGCAGTCATTTGGGGCATAGACATAAATGACAACCAAGTTGCGTGATTCTTTGCGATGCCTGTTGACACCACATGATCTCTGTAGACGAGCTACGCGTAACCGAGTTAACTGGGAACCAGTCGAGCAACGCGACTTCGGCTTTCTTACTTAGTGCTACCCCAACGCCATTCAAACGTGCTGCGGTTGCTTCCTCGTCAGTAGATAGACCCAGATGGTATATGCTTCCGGGATCAGAAAAGGACTTCATTCTGCTTACATTGCTGGGGTTCTGCAACCGGGTTTCGGAAACGCTGCTAGCGTTAATGGGGAGAGAGAGAGAGAAGACGCGTAAGGCCGGCCTGTTGACGAATCTGCATAAGCATTCGTACGTTGAAGCATGCCAATCGAGAAGTAGAGGTCGAAGTAAGGCCGTCGATTGGGCTTCTCGGCGGATGTCGGCAACATCGGGATCGGAAGTAGAATCAACGGAGCGGGGATTGACAACAAATGAAGAGTTGGCGTGTGATGGAAGTTGCCGAACAACATAAACAACAGTAGCGGAATCGTGGGATGACCGCTTGTTGACAAACCGTCAAAATCACCCAACCAGTCGTCCCATGGGATATGAGCACTGCTTTGGAGATGACGATGGTCAGAGACAACGAGTCTTTCATCATCTCTAGTTCATGATCCATGTCTCTTAGTCATACAGTTACGTCAGCCGAATTACATCGTCGTGACCTGTACTAATAAGCACCTGTTTTCCTGTCTCTCTAGGCAGTTGAACCCTGGTATCATCGTCTTGGTTGCTATGGCCTCCTGGAAAGATGTATCGATCGGTTACCTCGACTTGTTATACGTGTTATGAGGTCATGTGGGACCGTGCACTGTGCAATTGCGAAGCACATGCCGAATCGCGCTGTGCATTTGCTCGTGTTAAGGTGTGGTTCGGACACGTAAATACTGCATCTTTCGCATAGTCTACATTTGTCATTCTCTATTGTGACAGAACCGATAAAATGAAGGGTCGCGCCGTATCCTAAAACTAACAAGCTTGCCTTGTAATCTGACGGCGTGAGATAAAGCCTGCGTAGGGACAATGCGACCCTCGCAGTCTCCTTAGTCCGCATGCTACGTTGGTGGTTGCACGGCAGCGAAGCGTCCGCACTACCTACCGAGGTAATGCTGATACCTTTTTACCTCAGGAATCGCGGTTTGTCGCGTCACGTGCATGCGCTCTTGGACTTATCGATGTCAGTTCTGAACCATGTGCAAAGACCATGTTCTTCCGATGCCTGAATTAGGATTACCCTACCAGGGCGAATTGCAGCCGAACTTTCATATAGAAGCGATCGGAGTGTTTTGCTGAGCTCGGCAGCAAACGTTTCATCACTAGTCGAGATGACACTGATACTGCGCTATTATGTAGCGGAGCGGCGCAATGCGAAGTGTCAGTGAGTAGGTTATAACATATTGTAGATCAATTTGTAGCACCTGTCTCATTTCATCTCAGTCATTTACGTCCACCAAAGTTGCTCCCTGCTTTGGTAGCACCGAACAGCATCACCAGGAACGGCTTTCTTTAGTAAAACATGCGGCCACGAAGATTCTTCCTAATTTTCAACACTTCTAGTATAGAGATGCATCCATCCCGGACTCCGAGGCACACTGGTTGGGTACACTTACGTAACGCCATGAACAACTATGTCACCGGCACTCGCATGTATAATAACAACCGACATTACTATCTCTATTACTGAATTCCTTAGCTTTTTTCTTAACTTTTCAACGGGACGCGTTTTGCTCTTCTCTCGTATGATTCGGCTCAGAGATTCATTGCTTCTGAGGTGGCGGCAATCCTTTTTTCTGTTGTTTATATCATTTCGTGCTCTACTTTTGTACCACCCTTAGGTTCTTTGAAATTACTTTTCTCTAAATATGTTTGGGAATCGGGTCTCTTGAATCAAGATGCTTATTGTCTGTTTGCGGCCTGGTGCTGGGATCTATCGGTGCTCTGTCGAAGTTTGCCCGTATTATTCATTTCGCTTGATGTGGCGATATTTTCCTTTTCCATTCTGCAGGTATGACGCTGTCACTCACTCAGGCGTCTTGTGTTATCAGAACGCCTTAACATCTGAAAACAAACCTTTCATGGAGGCTGCACACGATGGATTATTTTTGAATTATAACTGGAACTCAGATTTGTTGCTGACTTCACAAAATGAGTAAGTGCCTTTGTCATTGCGATGGCTTTCGGTCCAAATGCTGTGTCGAAGATAGCTTGACAATGTGTGAGCAGAATGCAGTCCTTAGGCACTTTGTTTGCTTTTATTCTCGATTTATCTCCTCACACATCACACCGTTTTTCCACACCAAGGGCGGGCAGTGCGACCGTTTCCTCCCGCATTTTTGTTGGTGTCGATTGTTTCGGGCGTGGATGTCCTGGCGGCGGCGGTTGGTCTACCAACGTTGCTCTGCAACTCATTCTTGATGCCATAGTGAGTTAACTTCCATTGTAACCCTAGCTGCCTCCATGTTCCTTGCTACTTTGTCTGATATTCTCGAATACATTTCTAATTTCTTTGCGTGTGTACCGCTTGTTCTGATCGTTACTTTTGAAGCTCCCATAGCACCTAACTTCTATCGGTTGCGCAAGCGTCTCTTCTGCCTGCTCAATCGTATCAAGAATTTGTGATTTTGTCTATCGACATGAATTGTTTAAGGAAAGATTCAACCTCCATAGTATTGCGTGGGCAGCGTACTGTCAGATTGTTCAGCCCTAGACAGGAGAACGATTAAGGTTCTCATTCAAAGTCTTTGGTTCCAAAACCTGACCGCAATCCAGCGGGTTTCGCGTTGGGCTACAAGGAGTCCGTTTTAAGGAATAAGGAGCCACGCTCATTCTAATCATCAACCTGGAGGGCCAGCAGACTGAGTTTGTCTGGCTTCTAACTGACCAATCTGGTTTGAATGGCTCTGAAGGCAGCCGCTAGAGCAGCGCCACACGTACCGCAGGTCGATAGCATCTGTGTTCCTCGACTTCAAGAGTACGGTCCACTCAGTCGATGGATGCATTCTGGTTGAAATATGTGTGAATACTACGTGCCTTTTACTCGAACAGCACAGACAGCGTCAGGATGTACGGTTATTCGTCGGATTGCTTTCCGACATTAAATGGCGTTCGTCAGAGTTGTCCGATTACTCCATTTTTGTTCAATTTCGTCATAGGCTCAATCTTGGAGTGTCCCCTTGAGGAATCTCGCCACACAAGTATTGAGGTGCTGCCCGGTGAAAATGTTATTGATCTTGATTATACGGTCGATATTGTCCTGTTTTCAACGATGTCTTGGTGGTTAGTAAATCCTAAATAACCTCTCAAGAGTGGTCCCATCATTTGCCATGCGCTTCGCACTTGTGAATTGTAAAGCGCTGTTTCACGTTCACTAAGCCACTCGTCGACCCCTTGATCCTCGATAGAGTGGTATTTGAGGTCGTTGATCACTTCACCTACCTTGGTATCTCTATCAGCAACGATGGACGCATAACTACTGAATTCAGTTCGCGTGTTGCAAAGCTAGGACTGCCCTCTTGAATCTGTGACATCAGAAGGGGGTTTCCCTCGAGCTGAAGGCTTGTGTTTACAAGGCCACAGTGAGGACCTTTCTACTCTATGCGAGTGTAACGTTTACCCTTCGATCTGATGATCTCCGGCGTCTTCAAGTCTTTGACCATCGCTGCCTACAAAGCGTTGCTAGTGTCGGATGGCACCAACGTGTCCGCAACCATGGTGTGCGTAGGTGTGTGCTAGGCATTGAGATGTTTCGATGTTTCTGCTCCCAACACTGGCACCCCGCGGCCGAGGATTTCGTCTTTGCTTCGACTCATCTGGTGGAGATAGCCTGGGCTGGTGTGGAACTAGAAGCCTACTGGTTGTCGGCTGACCTCTTGATCGCTATGCCACTTTAATTCGTAAGGAACGTTTGACGCGGTGGAATGGAATTCAACGTTGCATATGAGTGCTTAGCAGTGATACTCAGGCTAGTTCCTTAAAACGATAGATTGCACTGAATAAATTGTGTTAGGTTGGCCACGTATTATGGATGCCTAGTCGCCGCTTCCCGAGGTGGGCCTTGTTTTGTCTACCAGAAGTAGCGTTGCGCATGCCTCCAGGTAGGCAAACGTTAACTTAGTAGCGGGAAACGAAGTAACTGACGACCAAACTCGCTACTAATCGTCCGTCTCGGCCTCCAGGTCTGATTCCACGTGACGCGCCTTGTGTTTGGCTTGGGACGTTACAGGACACGGCGCGCAATCGATACCAGCGGCGTGTCTGCCGTCATCGCGTTGTCAGATTGGTTAAAGTGCGTCTGGTGCCATGTCATTGTAACTAGTTATTGTGACGTGGGACAGTGAAAACCACCAGGAAATAGTCCCGCCGATGCTACCTTGACTTGATAATCAGCTGTTTTGTGACGGTATGTTGTTGACCGAAGCTGTTGGCGCCTTGACTCTGAATGTTAGCTTAGGGAATTTAGGTTTTATGATAGGTCCTCCTTCTCTCTCTTATTATTGTACATTTCTTCCGTTGTTGGGTTTGTACGACAGCGAAGCACCGGTTCAAATGGCCGATGTGCTGCTGATGTTGCTGATGATCTTTATGCATATATACCCAACGAAATCTTGGTTGTATTTCACGTATGTGTTGTTCGTGCACTGGCGTAAAGCTCCATATAGGCTAGAAAGTAAGCACATATAAGTTTGTATCCCTTGGCAGTTAGAGCTTTTTGGTTAGGTGCATTTTTTCGAGACGGGTACTACGTTCACTAAGCTTTATTCAGACTGGAATACCTCTGTGGCCTGATTATTTTGGAGGAAGGAAGCTTAGTTACGAAAGAATTGTGAGACTGCGTCTTTGAAATCGACCGATGGGAACTTCCCGGGCCAAGATATTTTTTGACGTTCCAGTCAACGAAGCTTTTAGGGAACCATAGGGTGAAGCGTCCATAAGGTGCTTACACGCCAGGAATCGCCGTAAACACAAGAGTGGGTACTGATGACCGGCTGTTGAATGTTCTGTACTCAACGTGCAGCTCATATTTCCTGGGGTACCATGATGATAAACCGACAGAAATCTCGATAGTACTCGAGTTATCAATCCATTGCACCTCGGGGCCAGTTGCGCTGTTGTTGTATGGGTTCTACTCAACCTACAAGGCGACCGGCGATTGTGAATTGGTTCCCCGTTGATTTCACTTGGCACCTCGTTCACCACTGGCTTCTTACCGCCGGGGCATCAGATAAGACAAAGTCGACCGATGTCACCTGCGGAAGTAACTGGCACCTTCTCAATGACTTAATGCGTGCACCAAGTTTCGCGATCGTCCATGAGGAACTGTTTTGCTGGGTTTGGTTAGTGTACCCTAAGCTGGCAGACATTGTTCGGCTGGCTTCCATGAGGTGAACAATGCGTGTGGAAATCCACCGGTTAAGATTTGCCTGATGGAACAGCAGATGATGTTGCTAGACTTGTTCATGGCGTTACGTATATGTTCCTAGTGCGCCTCGTAGTCGGGGGTGAATGTCTCTTTATACTCGAAGTACTGATTGTCAGGAAGAATCTTTGTGGTCGCATATTTTGCTAAATAAAGCCGTTTCTGATGTCGCTATTCGATGCTACTAATGGACGGAGTAATTTCGGTGCGCCTAAGTGGCTGATGCGAAATGAAACAGGTACTACAAATTGACGTACCATATTGTATGGCCCTTACCATCGGTAACTGGTGACGATGTGTATAATCTGCATCCACCGCTTTTCAATTAATACTAGTTTCCTGTTGACGGTAGCATTCGAGCAATCTTTCTCACGAAAATTCGAATTCAAATAATGGACGAGAAAAGAATAATCCCGTTAACTAAATGATTTGATATCACCTTTCCTGCAGTAAACAATGATCTTATTTTATTTCATGGAATTCCTACTTTTAAAACCGTTCAGTATGCATTTAACTAAGAGAGCACAATTTCCTACGTGAACTCAAATAAGTGTTCCGTTGCGATGGATGAAAAATTGTAAAAGCGAACGTTTTTGATGCATGAATTCCTTCCATCGTTAAAGTTGCAGGTGTATGTGGCTGCAAAGTATATAATAAGCAAATATGCTGCGGTCCCACAACAAACAGTCAAAAATTGCGACCGGAAACAGAAATTTATTCTTTTGTTTACAAAAGCTGAAGGCGTTCATTGTAACAAAATATTGTGTTGTCGGTAACTCGAAGAAACATTAATGTTTAAAGATGTTGCCCATGTTCTTATGGTTGGATAAATGTTTCCAAACCATTAATTTTATAAAAAGCCTTTCCTTATATCCATTTGAAATGGAGACTGGTGGTGCACTTCTCCTGTTGACGCGCTGGCTCCAACCGTTGTCGGGAAGTGGTATTTGAAGGGAATTCGGCGTTATTTTCTCCGCGTTGCAACAGGCCATCGCCTAGGTCATGCTAAACACCGAGTTCGCCCTCATCAATTTCGTTCAAACAGATCTGCTCGCCTTATCGAACAAGCATCCCAATATTCGTGCGTCGCTTTTCACATGTATTCTCGGAGATCTAATTGGTAAACTCACTTAAAGCTGAATCTGTGCTGCAATCTTTGGAAGTCCGCGCTTTGACAATGAGCATTGTTCACTGGTCTCTTGGCTGAATTATCGCAGAAAGCATCATAGCCTAATTGCCTAGAGTCTGCCTTTAACCAAGTAGGGCTTCTTCTTTGTGTACACTTAACGAGATTTCCACACAAGCCTAACTCGTAACTTCGGCAATCACGTCTCCCGATAAACAGTCGGACCACCCAAATGTTGATGTCAGTCATATAGTACTGGAGTCTTGTGGGCGAGTTTTAGCAAGCCAATGCTATCGATGGTGAAGGCTTTTACAGCGCGGACGTGCGCTGTTTGTCACCTGATGTGTATGAGCGACCGAACCTTAAAGGTGGCCAACTTGAATTGAGATGCGCCCTGGCTGCGTGATTGCATGACGGTTTTGAACTGTCCATCGACGCAGTTAAAATCAACGTTCGAGGCAGCTCCTTGTTGGAAACTTAGGATCGGCACACGATTACCGGGAATTCGCGAATTTTACAAGCGTACGATTAAGCGAGCACTGGGCTGTGTGATAAATCGTAGTTTTGCGGAGCGGACCAGCAGCATTTTGGTCGAAGAAATCAAAGGTAAACAGCAGGAATTCGTAGATTCACTTATCCATGTGTTGTGTGGGCATTGAGCTTCCCGGTTGCACGTTATGTGAAACGGTTTGACTTGGGGTACTCCATCCGGAACCTTTGGTCGTAGCGTCCCCCAATGCACAAACTAGCGTGGCCAATAACGTATGGTGGTACCTTTTGGCATCTGGTAACCGGGTTCACGATATCACAACTTTCGAGTAATAACAAGCTCAGCGTTCAAACAGCCCGAATGTAGCAGCACGTGGACTGCGAAAAGTTTTCTGACCAAGGAGGTTACTTGCATACCTAGAAACTGGTTGACAGCCAGGTGGCTCTTACACCATTTTGTTTTCGAACTAGAATAAACACATAAGCAAGTGACCGTCAGGTTCCTTCATCCACCCTCCATGAGGTGATTGTTTCTGTTTTCAGAAGTACGTGGTCAGTTTTTGTGCAACACTGCCCGAGGTTCAGTTCTATTCATTTTAGGATCATATGACCAACCCAGAGCTCACTCGTATTGATACGCTACCTTCTATTTTCCTATACTGCTATCACCTCACCAGCTGATTAAACGACATTTATCTCCACAAATATGCATATTCATTATTAAAAACTTCTGGATGCTGAACTCCATTGATCCTTGGTGTTGTATGACATTATCCCTACTCTTACCGTTGTGTACAATCACGTCCTTATGAACGGCTCTAACTGTTACGATTGGATCTTCACCGTAGTTCCAAATTTCAACACTGCTTTCGTATACAGTTGCTATCTCGATTTTTCTAGCATTACAGTATCCTCTTCGTACGCGCCGATGTATTTGATGATCGCCGCTCATTGCTCGACTCCTCCAGTGTGTATGCTCTTCGTTCTTCGTCGGTAGTTTTCAAGGACTCGGTGGCCGTTTATTATTGGCTTTAAGCAATCCCAGGAGTGTCCCATGAGTAACCACACAATCGAACTCTTGACTTTATCACTTGATTGAGTGCGATTTGTTATTTCTGTTCGTCACGGACAGCAGGAGATTCTCCCACACGTAGCGCGTACCCCTTATCACTCGGTTATTGTACGATTTTTTAACTTGCTTATCTTCATTCGAGCCTTTCACTAAATAATGCTGGTCAATTTAAGCTCTCGTACCAAAGCATTATGAATAAGCCATCTTAACGCAATTCGCCCACAATCCTACTGTTGTAATACCATGTGCACTTGAAGGTTGGGAGAAATAAGTGAACCGCCACAATAGCTGTCTACGAAATGCATTAAACCACTCGGATGGAAGAGTTGGGAGTTCGAAGCCAGGGAGCGTTTACTTCACAACAGCTTACTCTGATTGGGTACTAGTCACCTATGGATTATTGAACCTCTGAACCATTCAACGCATTTTCAGCTGCATACGCATGTGTTGTACTATCAACCAATGGATTTTTCTGGCATCTGTCTGACTTCAGATGTATACCACTCATTCCACTAGGATTTCTCACCTCTTTGAAGTTTGTCCTGTCGCTCATTCGCGACTGGTTTCTACGCATCGCCATCATTTTCTTCCTTTGTTGTTTACAGCTGCGACGCCCAGACCGTCCACTTTCCGTGGCACTATTCGCTCCTGGATGGCCATTTGAGAAATGCGATACATCCGCAGCCAATGGTGACCGATACAAGGAGCATCAAATGATCGCTGAGAATGACGATCGCTTTTGGTCCGGCTTGTCCGATTTGTTGCGCCGCATCCGTGGATCTTCTCAACATTGTTTTGTGCTCGACCGCATTTCGGCTCCGTATATTCCAGTACCTTTTTTGAAACCAACCCTTCATACGACCTGTGGTTTGTTGCTGAAAACGACTTGCAGCACTGGCCAGGGTGTTTTCGAACCAGGCGCTGCATTTTGCAGCAGTATGAGGGGCCAAGAGGTGTGATTTGTTCCGTCAAATTAATGCTGTTAGTTAAATTAGATGTTGATATGGGCCCACTGATCAGGATCGACATTGTAGTTTTGGATGTCTGTCGTAAATTGCTCTCTGCGCATTTAGAACTTCTATTTTGAGTTCAGTTTTCTCTCAGTATATCAGTGGACGGCGGCAAGTTACCGCTTGGCTATCATTTTTCGCATTTATCAAGTAACGTATCTCCTTACGACTCTTTTTCCTGATGCAGTTGTTTCCTGTGGAATTCAGCACAACCGTACTCAGTCAGATAGTCACAAGCGGTTAAAGAACACTGTACCTTTTCTTTAATTTCTCTTGTTAGGTTTAGAGAAAATTTTCGCAAAACCTTTTAAACCGCTTTACTATCCCTGTATTAACAGTACTATTCTTAATTGCCTTACCATACGTTAATTCGCCATTTTAAGTCTGAAAACGTGTCTAAAGACTTTCTGGTAACATACAAGTTAGCAGCGAGAGCCATACTGCGTAAAATCAATAACGCTGGCATCCCTTGTTACCGATGACCATAGTCCCTGTCTGTAACAGTTTGATCACTGTTTCTTGCTCCTTACCAGGCTGAAATGCACTGCAGACAAGTCTCCAAAGGACTACCCGATCATCCAGCACGTTCCGGCACTCTGATGCAACAAGCTGTGCTGAGTTCCTTTTGTGCTCACTTTTTTGAGCCCCTTGCAGCCCAGTTTTGCAGGGAGTATTTTTACCGTCCGTTTTTTCCTATTGTGCCTGCCAATGGCTAATATGAATGGTTCATACGGTCAAGCTCTTCTAGCCATGATGATTGCATTTTCTACCTTGGTGACCGCGAAATCTTGTCTGGTTTCGTCACATGCGTTGTTAGTCTGAGCTATGGAATCTTTGAGAGCCACTCCACTAGCTTGTGTCCATTTCCCCCGACCATCTTTACTCCTAACCTCCTTCTTCTTTTATATACTTAACTAAAATACCCCCATTGTGATTGCTGTTGAACACCAGTTTGATTGATTATGTTGCCTCGTGTAGATTTTCTGTTGCTTATGCATTTGCTTGAATTTATACAACGGAATCTCCTATTTACAGATGGGTTGCTTCATTCTTCCGCCCTTCTATCGCTCTTGCTGGACTGTTGTCTAGTTCCCATTGAATGAATCATTTTTTTCGGATTGCGACATTTGCAGCTCATCCCGACCGCTCTGCAATTGTCAGAGGAAATTCTCGATACCGCAGATTCCGCTCACAGTACCTCATCACGCACTCTAAAGGTGAGTGCCCAGGTTTACCTTAATGACTACAAATTAGAAAATCATTGGTCTGACTTATTCGCTCATTGTCGATACTCAAGCATACTTTGGCTTGGTTAAATTTTTTGCTCTTTGTATTACCGCTTTCCACATTCAGAGCAGCACATTGATGCTAATTCGCCATTATTGTGCTCTTTCTCATTGCACCCGATGCGGCTTTGTCGATACCGCAGCTTGTCTTGCAAACGCGAACTTGACTTTTATTTAAGTCGCCTAGTTTTCTATTTTGCCACACCTTTTCGAGTCGGCCCCATTGTTCTCCGTCGTGTTATTCGTTGCCAACATATAGCTTGTTCCCCAATTTGTAACTTCGAACCTCGTCTAGACTGCCCACCATCAACACAATCACATACGAAGTTTGTACTCTTATTTAGCGGTAGTTTTTCAAGTTGTATCTTCCTTATTGTTTGTTTTATGCGTAACTTTGCTGTTCGCTACCGATGGTGACCTATCATGTAGGATAATGTTTTCTATTCGTCTTCATTCTGTTCTTGTAATCCCTTTTGGATCTACACAGGTAACCAATTATGCGTACTCCAGGGATACTTTAACTTCGAACACCTGCCTGCTGATCGAATGCATTGGACGGACATGTCGAAGGCATTTGATAGAATTGTTCAGCTTTCCGCCTCACACTGAACTCTCTTCTAGATCGGCGTTCACAGTGGCTTTCTCATTACCGGATTACGCGCCCGGTGGATCTCCACTAAACGATCACTCATTCAAAGATCAGCTGTCGTCAGTTGCACTTTTCCTCGACTATTCTCTTGACGCTGAAGACCAGGGACTACTGCGGCATAGCATTCCTTCTCGACAGATAGTTTCAGCCAGGAACGGTTCGTTTGTGCTCTTATATTGTCATTCTATTGCACAAAGTTCTCTCATTTTCAGAAACTATCACTTCCGCCTCTCGTAGACACTGATCGAAGGCCTAAAGTGAACCAGATGGTGCCAATGGTAGTATGTTTCTGTTTTTCCGCCCTAGTGTACCCAGCAGATATGGTGACCTTTGATAAGCTGCGCGGCGGCCGATGCAGTATGTGCTCGAAGTTTGAAGTAATAGTCATGGTTGTACTTGTACTGATGTCTTGTCAGGGCGTCTAAATTTAAACAAGAGAACTGTCAGGGTCCACAATGTAATCCTTTGACTCAAAAGCCTGTCCGCAAAGCGGTGGTGGGTTGGCAGTGATTTTCTTTTACAGAAATGGACACCATCCCTTTTCCAACCCCCAACCCGAGGACCTGGGGGCTGATTTTGTTTGACCTCTAGCCATTGACCGATGTGGTAAGATTAGTTCTCAGAGCGCCCGAATGCACCACTCAATATAGCTCAGTTGGTCGAGGAAGTACATAAACTGTAGCACCAGTTTACCTTCCACTCTCCTAACCACGTTGGGCTCATCTTCACAAGATTCAGATTAGTCGCAGCAAAATATGGCTTAGTCACACTATAGCCCCCTGCTCTCCTCTCTTATCCAGATGAACTGTGCATTAAGGTTGTCTGTTGTCTACCTGATGGTTTTCTTTCTGGCTTTAACACAAATCATAATTTCACTGCATCACTCTTGACACCGGATTGCGTTTTTGAGTCTACGCTCTGTTCGTTCGAGCTTTTTGAAGCCGGCAGTAGAACATTGTTCTGAAACATTTTCGCATTACTAAGCAAGATCCTAAAGACTATTTCTCACCATAACTTTGAATTTGTCATCACATATATTCTGGGGTTCGTCAATTTTGTTTGTGGCTTCGTACTTGTTTTCTTTACTCTGTGACACCATCCGCTTCCACTTACTATCCTCGGTTTTTCCAGTCACAGTCACCGGAACGGCTACATGTCCTTGGATGGTTATGGAGTTTGTCGTGGATCACCTGGCCACCTCACATGCGGATCATCCGATTCGTTTGCACCGATTTGGGCTTGTGTGGGAGTGCCACTTTTCACCGATGCAGACTAATCGTTTTCTTCTTGGTTGTATTCAACTTTGCGATCCCGTCTTCCCTCGTTAGACCACTCCAATTCATTCTGTGATACTGTGATTGCTATTCTTCTAACCTTTCACAATAGATCTTTTGACGAGCATCGAGGTTTTCTTTTTTTCCTTTTTCACCTTGACCAAGCTTTTGCTTAAGTTGCGTGGTAGTCTAAAATTGTTTGCATTTTCCCGAAAACCCACATTTTCTGCTCAATCTTATGGGACCCTGTTGATGCCTTCGACAGTGCCGCTGTTCTACAGTAGATGACGGTCATCGAACATCGGTGAACCCCCGCTTTGTCTTTTCCAACCTACTCAACCTTTCTCGCTCATTTTGAAGTTAAAGAAGTTAGCTAGCCGCAGCCCTTGCAACAAAGCATGGTGCACACTGCAACTGCTTTGTTTTACCCATTTTTCGTCACAACTCACCGATGTCTCATGTATTCCTTTCAACACCTTACAACAATTTGAATATTCACACTTTCATCGTTGGTCACTCCAATTTTGTCTGTCGTTGATTTCACGTGGGTGTTGTAATCTTATCACTGCTTCAAGTTGAATTTCTTTGATGGAGCCGGAAACCTTGCTGGTACTGAACTGGGTGTTTAAGTTTTTGTCGTGCTGGCCGTCCTCTTGCTCATATTTCTTTGCTTACGTTGTTGTGTATGTCCTATTGCAATCTATCCAAGACCTTTGTTGGATTGTGTCTTCTCTCAGATAGGTAGTGCTTTTTGACACTTTTTGAGATATTATCTTACTCGTATGTCGTTCTTCACGCATAGTCGTTCCCGTTTAGGCGCATCATCAAACCAATGATACCATGGCAAGTAGGACACCGGTAACTCATATCGATGCTTCTCTGCCACATAACACAACTAGCAATCACACTGAGCTGGAAATACTGCTAGGTAGACAACATATACGCACAGTCGAACCGGCGACCTGTAGGTTACAAGTCAGACATTAGAAACACTAGGCCAGCCCCATAACAGCCATATGCTATTCGCGATGTGCGTGGCTCAGAAACTATGTTCGTGTGCTGACTGTTCCTTCGGAGGTCCCTGTTTGTTAGTGATCGTCCCCATCTCCGTTCACTTTACGATACTGTCTATTTTCATGACGACTGACACAACATTCCAGTATCGCTCCCAGTCTCCTCTAATGTTAGAATTGTCTTGCAGGTACTTGCGTTTCCTAGTACTTTGCTTGATCACTAAGGCCGCATTAACTTCCCGGAGCTTTCCTTTTATCTCTACTGTCTGCCGTACACAACTGGAGTCAAAATCATACTGCTTCGTATTGTGATGGAGGCTGTGAATTGTATGGCAAAGTTGTTCTCCTCAGACAGCCTTCTTGTCATCTAAAAATAACTGGAAGCGTACAGTTTCTTCTGCTCACATCATTTTCACTTAACCAATTCTTTACGTGTTGCACTAATTTGCATACATCCACCCAGAAGTTTTTGATGGTTGGCGTTTTGCGTCATTTTGAGGGCCGCTCTTGCTAGTGACCAATCAAATTGATCTCCAGCTTATAGGTTGTACCTAATCTGGCACTCGTTTGTGTGAAGTGCTTCATTTTTTATACCTGTTGCGTGTCCCAGCTTCATTGCGGATAGGTCTTTGAGTCAACTCATTGGTTAAGGTCTCCGATCATTCTACTCTTCGATTTGGGATCCTAGAAGTTTCCGGCACCATCTACTCTACTCTGACTGTCGTGTCAAACCTTAGGAGTTGCACTGTTCAAATGAGTCGTCTTATCGGCCGCCTACCTCCGGTCGGAGACAGGGTACCACCAATTCCTTCTTACCTTTCCACTTATTTTTCTCGTACGCCCTCAAATCCCCATTAGTAACTTTCCTACTCTTAATCCGGCAGAGAACAAAGACACAAGTATCATTCAAATTCCACTATCTGTTTTACGACTCCGCTATAGCAAGTCTTGTATCACCGGCAAACCTTCTATCTGGTCACACTATCCGGTTTTCTTGGTTGCTTTAGGTTTTTGTATCCCTAGACAGATGGGTCAGACGACTGCGCTTACATCCCGAAACCAGAGCTCGTACTGGCTGCTCCCCTCTCACCGTTAGTCAGATAGGCCCGGAGATGGTGATTCGTAGTGGTCTGTATCGTCACTAGTTTATAGGATTCTTGTGGCTAGTCGCCTTGCACTATCAATTTGATAATGCTTACCAAGGTGAATCTATGGGGCTGCTCTTACTGCATGTGCTCTAGCTTCTGCTTATCTTGGTTTTATCAACGTTGGCTTCCGATGCCTAATGTTCCTGACTCAGATATGGTGCTAGTTACTAAAAATGTGCATTTCCGTGTCTAGGTGGAAATTCGTCACATCTAGGCTCACTCTGACAGCCATCACAGGCCCGGAAAAGCACTGTACGCGCGTTTCATCCCTTCGGGAATCGTCAGCAGTGCGCATTTCATCGAACACTCAACTCGACTGTTGCCAGTCCGTGGTTAAGACCACTGAGCTACGGCGGACGGCAACGACCATCATGAATAAGTTACTCTGAATTACTCGAAAGTCCATTTAGCTCTTATTCGGACCTGCTTCCATGCGCACGCACAATGGCGATCATGTTGCAACCATGCATCGAATTTCGTCCGTTGCTGAGCCTCATTGCACCGGCTTCGAGCAAAATGGACACTGAAATGCATTTAGCCTCTCCCAACCGTTCTCTATCGATGGACTTATGTAAATCGTATCATTAGCAATCACTCGTTCTGAAGCATGTTCCTGGCCTTTGATCAGGCTGCAGTTCGATATTGATGTCCCTGGCATTTTGCCTTGTGCGCGAACCACGATCCCTATGGTTGTCCATCGAGTATATTTCAATCTAGGATGCTTTTGGACTGTGCTCTTGCCTTCTTTTTATGATCACTGCTTTTTGGTGGAATTGGATTTCTACTTTTCTACATTGCACTAGTGTTCCCTTTGCAGCGCTATCAATCGTTATTTTCTCTTGGCACCTATTCGGATTCCCAACACGGATATCTGTTTTTACTGCTCACACTATGTCCAGCTGAGCAATCAGGCGCGGCTTGCAACTACTATACTATTCGTGAAACCAGGTATACTCATAAGTCTCGGAGATTGAGAGACGCAGAAGCTTGTTGTTTCCGCTGCGGTCCTCTCCAATTTCTCCGCGTCACTGACCTAAGTAGCTCATCTAATCTGAACCTTTTTAAGCGATCGTAGTTAAACCAGGTCGCGAGTGTCTTAGAGTCTACATGCATTAGAGATTCCAAACGCTGTCTCAACTATCAATCACTTCCTTGCCACCAGCCCTCATTCTCTTTCCTACCTTGTTCCATCGATGGTTGCGCTATCGTTTGGAAAAACCATCTATCTTTTATAACTGACATGGAAGGAAGAGGCTGCTCTCTTCAACGAAGACAAATGAATCGTCTTGACTATGTCCACGTGGTGCAGTCGTAAATTATTTGCTAACCACTGGGTATGCGATTGACACCGGTGGTAACATTGTTTCGCCATGTTACTGCAAAACGGTACTTCCGGATACCCGGGGGTAAGCACACTCCGGAATGCACCAATCAACTTTTCACTCTGACACGTGCGAACGCTTCTTGATATGCAATACATACCTACTATAACATGATTCCTCTATTTCAACTTTACCTTTGACACAGTCGATCTAATTGCTTGGAAATGCACTCTCGTGAAGTATGTGGGCATTTTACTTGTCTGATATCCAAACATCTCAAGTCCCGCCTAGGCTTACGGCGTAGTTGCATGTTTTGCTCCATCTCTACCTTGGTTAACCAGGTTTACGACACCTACCTGTATTTCGATTTGCTTTTACTCGGCACTCTACTTTCCTATTTTGGGATCCTACGAGGCAATTATTTCTCCCTAGTTTTCCTCTGAGCGAAATCTCCCTGGTGTTTCATTCTGTTTTATATGTGCTTTACACTTCCAACATGCAAAACATGTTAAGTGGCGAATGGCTTCTTGTCTCCTGATGACGCGAGCTAGAAATGGCTTGTAAACTTAACCATCCTGCCGGTATATCGTCAACAATTGGCCTGTAACTATTGATATTAGTGCGCGCATCACAAACGATGGCAGCTAACGATGCTTGTCATCTAGCACGGTACGTCAATACGCAGTGCTTGTTCCTGGTCGTGACGCTATATCATTATAAGGGGTATTACGCCAGGCTATCCGGTGCTTTAAAAGTACATACTCCTCCCACACGTCTGACCATGAACTTTACTCTACCCTGATTCATATGCATGAGGCCTCCGATTATGCTAGACGGCCTGTCGGACACACCCTCTCACCTTAACCTATATTGTCAGCTGTCACGCCTGTTTCATTTGAGTTGACATTTGGTCAATACACTGTCCGTTGCGGTGATGTCGTTGTTCTGACAACTCTACACTCCATCAACCGCGATTGTAACAAGGTGTGGCTGTTGATGGGAATTAAAACGGGTTTTGGCATGGGACCTAAGGGGAGGTACTGAAGCATCAAGCGGACATCTAAAATGTTGCGTCATGCACAAAGAACCCTTGCAACTCTGTAGCTGCAGTTGGACATGATTCCTTCAGATCTTCGGACATATTTCTTTTCAGACGTCAGCGATGGCTGTATACACCTTATATCAACAAATATGACTATCTGAGTCACGTCAATTCGATTATATGCTTCGTAACCCCATCCACTTAATTAAAGAGAGCTATACTTCGTTTGCTCGATGTTGGTTAATGTTGGGTTCTAGAGGGTAATCACTGATTTGTTTGTTTTCCTATATCAACATCTATATTAGGATCCAGCGAAACTTGATCTCATCAGATACTCCTCCTTCGCTTCTTTTCCTTTGTTGGCTTATGTGATAATGAAAGAGTCTTGCTTCTGACGGTTGTACTGGGCTAGACATTCTTTTAGACGACAGACCGTCAGACTTAGAGTACGCGGACAACATAGCTGGGTGGGACTCAGCTGTTATGCAAGCATTGTTGAACAAGCTGACGCATGGTGTTGCATGCTCTAGAATAATCTTTGCACCTTCAATGATCAGGGTACCATTACAGGACTCTTTCGAGTCATCACTAGATATCACAGACACCAAGCAACCAGGTGAATTTTCCGATCGGTTTACTTATATCTTTAGCCGTATTATTTCTTGCAGTAACACCTCCAGGGAGTTTATACTGCAGACATTGATAAGGCTGACTTGGCCTTTCAGACTCCAGTCATTTATGGAGCCGGCACTTTACTAGCATACTGGTTAAAGGAAAAGTCTAAACCAACGCAACAACGCCGGTGTTTGTGGACAGGTTAGACACCTGTCCGTCGCTCGATGAAGACCATAAGAGACTGACTGTTTCACTACCGATGTCTACGAAATATCACAGATGCCTAGCGTGGACGTTCATTGAGTAAGCAGTGTTCACCATTTAACCTCTAGGAACAAGGACTTTGGTGCTGCGTCGGAGTGCTTTTTGAACCCCAACGGCTTGCACTGCCTCAGCTTGATGGGTTCCGTATTCCCGTTGGCCTGTTGTTTTGCCGTGTAGTATTCGTCATTACAACCTTGAATCATATCCGGAAGTGAAAAGTTGATGATTTACCTAGGTTGCTTGATGATGTTAACCAACTGGCTAATGACGGCTGGTGCTTGTGGTGTTTTTGGGCGGGTTCTCCGGGATTGGCCACATCGGTAGTTGGACAGTAGCCCATATTATGCGGTGTCAAAATCGATCAATTTCATGCATTTCTGACCCTATCTCCGACGATTTTACTTCTTGCTTGTCTTTTGCATTTTCTCTCTTCATCATTGCGTTTGTCAGCGCGACTCAAGTCCTCTGGACTCCCTTGTCATCTCATCCACCGATCATAGCTGACCTACTTAACTGAACCGAACAGACAGCTGAATCTCATTCTCTTCGCATTCAACTCCCAAGTATTCTCGAACTATGGTTTTGCGAGACTTACAGACATACACATTGGTTTCCGGCACCTTTTGCTCTTTCGTTACTTCGTAGCTGCATGGTTGCACCTGGAATCACCTATATCGTCCAGTACCTGGTTGTCTGTCTGTGTTAATGTTCCCTATACACAAGGATAGAGTGGATGTTGCTTGCCCCGAAAACAGCCGATTTCGAACCTATTTGGTCCCATCAGATAGAGTTAGCAGGCACTCGAACCCCCCTAGCCATTGGGATAATAACCGACGCTCCCCGACCCCTCCCTAGGCTACTGACCCAGTTACGACGAGCAATGCTTGTCACAACGGTCACTGACTCATTGGATGGGGTCATTTTGAATTCCTCGTGGGTGAATGGATTGCATCGCACAGCCTCAGTGTGGACCGTGACTCGCATTGTAAACAATCTTCCATCTCTTATTTAATATTACTAACGTTTAGCAACCTTGTCTGTTAACACTCTTGGAGATCTTTCGCATTTGTATTGCTACCAAGTCGGACAACAGTCTCCTTTATATACAATTTCAAGTCGCTTTATGTTTCGTGCAACAATTCTCTGCGTTCGCTTTGAAATAGAAGGTCGATATCTTATTTTAAAAATCCCCCAAACTAAAGTCTGTCCATATTATCCAGGCTAAATTTCGAGATTTATGGCTTTACATTGGTCTCATGGGACTCACCGTTTCTTCCTTGCCTTGTATAGATGGCTTGCTTGGTAACTCGACTTCGGCATGCTGATCATCCTGTGGTTGCTTTTTTCATTGTTCTTCACATTTTAGGAGTTTTTGGGTTGTATACTGCGTAAAAATACCTTCCCGTGGCCACTGCGTATCCAGTCGGTTTCGATCACATTGTTCTCGCATCCTTGCACCCACTGCAATTCGGTCAGATGTCTTAGTGAGAGCTCGAAAGAACCTTTACCCTATGGTCGAGCAGCTACACGGATTCGGTTTCCCGTCCCAGAAAAGCCCAAACGCATACGCCGCGGTGAAGGAATTGGAGGCGGCCCTGAGGGTCGCATATCCCATCTGCGACGTTGTGTCTCTGTTCTGTTCGATGAGGAACGAATCGAGCTTCCATGGGGTGTAGGCATGGAAACTCGCCTATATGCCGAACGGCTTATACAGGAAGCGGTCATATCCTCCGGCGAACAAGATAACCTAGCACTGCTTAATTTGTGGTTGGAATCGCCACCAGACAAAGTGGTCAAGATTAGTGACTTATCCGATGAAGTTAATCCGTCCATCTTGGAACTGGCGGTGTTTTGGCTTCGGAAGCCACACCTTGTGGAAAAATTACTCAAGGTCAGTTTTCAACATGTTTTCTGCTGCTTGTTAAATATATTTCCCACGTTAAAACGCGTTTGGCGGCTCTGCCACTTGCCCTGCATATATATATATATATATATATATATATATATATATATATATATATCGTTGTCACGTGCGGTCCTCCTGACGATCATTGTGATCCACGCGGCCCTCGGGCATTCCTGTTTGACTTTATGTGGTGGAGTACGCTCCTAGCCGTTTACAAAACGAATCCGTCGTGACTGGAGTATAAAATTAGTTCGAAGCTGCGCGCTTTACTTGCATTGCTCCATGGAACCAACTTAAATCATTTTGCGTTAACTTCATGTCAGCAGCTCACATAACTTTGCCATTTGGAGCGTAACAAATTCACCTCGCATCGTCAGCCGCGGCTGTGCATCAGATCTTTACCATTCGGTCAGTGGCCGAAAGGATTGCACGCCTGGCTTTCAATCCTTAGGTCATCGGTTCGAATCCGCGTAGGAATGGGCGCCCTCGCGGTATACTCAGCCCGCGCGCAACCTTTGGTGATCACGTGGCGGTGAAGCGTCCGTGCAGTGTGTCGACGTACTGCTGATGACTTTCTTTCTGTCTTTCTTATGAAAGGAGGCTTGATAAGAGAGGAAATTGAGTGACTTTGTGGATGTTTTGAACAATCTAGACAGGGATTCAGGAATAAGGCTCCTACAGCTTGCCAGCAGCACACGGCTATAAATCTAGATTATCTTAGCTCGAAGTGAAGGAAGTACAACAGTAACGACTGTTGATGCACCAAATTCCACCTGCAGTAACCAATACCTCATCACAATGCTTGCAAAATAGTACAATGCATTCTTTTTCTTCATCCTTCCATATTTTGCTACTGGTCGGCAGTCTATGTAATTTACCAGTAGTTCAGCGAGCATCACTATTAACGTGATATTACTCTCCTATACTAGCACCGCTCCAATGCTAGCGATGCTCAAAGACAGGAATCTGTGCTATTTACGCCAACTAGCCAGGCATCACTGTTGTAGATCGACCCTTATCATATCGTAGCGTCATATACTTAGCTCTTCAAATGGCGGCCGCGGTCACATCTGTGCCAGAAGTAACAAATCTTGGTAAAAGTAACCCTGGCCTTGGATATATGCAATGAGACCTCATCTGTGATACCGTCAGCGCTAAGGCTATTCACGAAACGAACAATCTTGCCAACGAGTTCCAATGAACAACCCGGAATTGTGAGAGTATTTTGCAACATGAGGCCTGGCGTTGCCATGGGACAGAATGACCTGGCCTTATCGATCGGACCGTTTCTGCTGGGTAGCTTCATTCAGACGGTACATTTGATCTGTATAGTGGTTCCTGTTCGACTATTTTGTTCTTCTGAACTCTCACTGCACAATGCCCGCCCCCAACTCCCACCGAACGCAGATCCTGATCATCTTAGGATGTAAGTTTTTCTGAACTCTCGGCCTTGGCATGTCTCCTGGAGCAACCCACTCCTTTGGTTCATTTCCGTGACAATTTTCTATAAAAATCGCTTCTTGTGGCCTCACGTTACTCGGTGTCGGGTGAGATGTTGAGCAGCAATTAGAGGGCGCTTTTATTTGTTGTTTACGGTCTGCTACAAGTTTTCCAGTGAAACAAATTGATTGAAAGTGGCGGGATATCGTCGTTGTATTGATAATCATCTCGGCCAAATATCTTCATGTTTGGCAACGGTCCTCCTTCAAGCGCCCCTTTAAACGGTAGGCCGCCAGAGCAACGCTTGTCGCCCAAGTCAAATTTTCAATTTTTGAACTCGGCAAGCCAATCTGGAGTGGTCTTCGCAGCGATAGCGCCCCCTTCGTAACCGACACAGATATCCCAAGCTACTTCGGCTACTTTTTGCTTATCGTGAAATGCCAAATGAAGGAAATGTCGAAACTCTTTTTCTTGCCGTCTGGCATTTCCATTTAAAATACCTGAAAGTTAAGTAAAATGCGTTAAGATGTGCTGGTCTATATCATAGACAGCAGTCAATCACGCAGGTTCGCGGCTGTTACCCATGGTGAAGTGGCAGTAGCTGCGGACGCAACCCGGCAGGGGTCCGTTGGGAAGCCCACTACTGATGCGACCCAGGAGGTCGAAACGCTGGCATCTGGTGTTTTTCTAGACAAGCCTATGCCTGCTGATTGAGAGTGACAATGATGAATTAGCTGAATTAAGTAAAATTAAATTATTTAGAAAAATGGTGGCAATAGGTCTGTAGAGGAAACAGCGATCTTTCGAGGGACTATATCCAAATTGTCAAACTTCAAAACTATGGAGCGAAAACAGACCAACTATAAGAACATTGATACTATATGTGATAACCCAATATTTTGATAAGCTGTGGAAAGTGATTACCCTATTTTTGCTTTTCTTAGCCAGCCAGTATTTCTTCGTCTATCGTCGCTATTCTTTTATGCGTTTGTCATCGGTACTGTGTTCCTTTTCCAGGTTTTCGTTCCCCGCTATCGACTGTACGATCGTGCTTACACAAGCATATTTCGACTACCTACGCCACATTATCCGTCTCCTCAAGCAGCCCGCACTGAAGGCTTTGCGTTGCTGGAACTGCATGGAAATCCTTGGCCCCCTGTTTGCGCGGCGAGTCGCTGTCCCGATTCGGAGCCATTCAAGTCCAGTTACTTGATAAACGTTTTAGTCGACGCAGCGCGCCAGTCTGCTGCGATAGCCGCTGAAAGACAGTCAAAGCTTACATCCACATAGGCCAAGGTCGTTTGAGCTGTTTGATCTCTGACCGCACTGTCTAACTGACTTGTACATAGCCCAGCGCTCTGCTGGGCATCGCATGTCAATATAGTTTTGTCTACTCTCTTGCTCTTTATTGTTCTGTTTGGTTGGCCACTATTCCCGAGATATACCTGTTGTTGTCCACCGGCTTTCAGTCGTATATTGATGTCAATCTTATCATCTAGCTTGCAACGTCTTAATTTTGTGGTTCCCGCAGCTTTCCATATCACATAAACTTGAGATAATATTATTCGAACTCTCCGGTGGATAGTCCTCCCCATTGATCTTTCGCTTCACTAGACAGGCTACTAGTCATTGGATCTCCTCACAGTCTCTCCACTTAATGGAAACCCGTCGAGCTATTCCCGCCGGGGTTGAGTACTACGCAGAACCATATATGCTGAGCTCAGACAGCTTCTCAGAAAGGCTCGCGAGGTCTGGTGGACACAACGCATCGTTGAGATGGAGTAGGCAGCCTCCACAGGAAACTCCTGCAAACTCTTCCAACTAATTCGGCTCACGTGTGACAGAAGGCCGATAGTGAGTGGGATTTATGTGTAAATGACGCCGATCTAATTCACAATTATCACCGTTGTAAGGTACGATGGGCGGAGTACTTCGAAGATCAGTTCAACAGGTCACCAGCATAACCTAGTTCTTCCGGTATTCGCAGTGCTCCCCACCGACTGAGGCTGAGGCTTCCTTTCATTCTTGCCTGCTAAAGCGACACAAGTCACTTGGCCCAGATGGACTTCCTCCGGCCCTCTGCAAATATGGAGGTCCTGCTCTCATCCGTGAACTGACATCCATCTTCCATCAGATGTGGACTACTGAAACCATCCCATCCGACTGGAGGTTAGCGGATGTTGTACCTCTCTATAAGAAAGAAGACCGGACCGTTTGTTCCAATCATTGTGGGATCAGTCTCGTTGTGTTGCATCCAAACTGCTCGCTGCCCTACTCTTGCACGTATTCGGGTGCCACCCTGTCCTCAAAAACAGGCAACGATACGCACACGACCTGGGGACTAGACGCGCGAGACTTAGACACACACGCAACACACAGCTAGGGCGGCGCACATCATCACTTGCGTGAGTAGGGACTGTGCTCAGATTACTCGTAACTTACGTACAAGCCAACGCGACCAGGTCTGCGCAAATCCATTACCCTGGCAACGGCAGAGCTTTCGAACTATGTCAGACGAGTACGCCGACTTAAAACTAATGCTGTAGCAGCAACTCAAATTGATGTCCGTGCTAACTGACAAACTTTCTAGTTCTTCCCTTCACGCAGGTCCGATTGGCAGTTTTCAATCACTGGACCATGTGGTTAGCGGCATCGATGAATTCCTGCACGACGCCAAGGCTGGAGTAACGTCCGATTCTTAGTATATGTGATAGGCGGACCTGTTCACCGTTGACCTGGCCTACCAATATGACGCGTGGAAGGTCCAGCTGCTTCTGTGCAAGCTGGATACGCTCTAACACCAACGCTATTCCAATTTCATCTTGCCGAAGAACCCACGAAACGGCCCGAACCTTGTCCCAAATTTTTGGCGAGCGGTCCTCCCTGTTCAATGCCCGTTGTCAATGTCCGCAGCTGGCCAAGCGTGATGCTGACGACATCATCACGTACGCTGGCGTGATCAATCGTGAGTGCGAGCCTTTTCAACTTGGTTCGCTCACAGAGGACCAATTCAAATGCTTGATCTTCGTCTCTGCTCTCCAGCCTGTACACGATATCGATATCCGGACGCGCCTCCTATCCAAGCTACAGCGGAATACCACTGTCACACTCCAGAACCTTGCCGAGAAGTGTCAAACGCTGCTGAATCTGGAACACGACTCTGCCATGATCCAGAACGCCGCCGCACCTGGTATGATCCAGGCAGCCGTAGCACTTAGTACGCAGTCGTCCTTGCGCCCCACCCATTCCGACCGAGCGAAGCCCCCACCCTACGCGTGCCGATTCTGTGGTGCCTGGCATTTCCACCGGAACTGCAATTTCCGCCAGCACCGATGCCAACCTTGTGACATGGTGGGGCATCGGAATGGTTACTGCCATCCTACAACTCCCAAGGAGGCCAAAACTGGGCTGGCCCCCACCCGACTTAGACAAAAGCCCAAACCTGGTCCGGTTGGCAGCTCCCTGACCCTGTTGGCCACATTCCAAGTCAACTATACGGACCGCAGAAAATTCGTCGACGTCTTGGTCAACTGTCAATCCGTCCGATTGCGGTTGGACATTGCGTCCGACATAACCATCGTCTCCGATGAGCCCTGGCGATCCCCTGGCAAGCCTCCATTCCAACCAACCTCTCAATCAGCCACCTGCGCGTGCGGTCGTCGCGTGCAGCTAACTGGGCAGCTGCACTGCTCCGTCTCCTTCTGAGGCGCCGCATTCAACATGATCTGATACTACATGAAGGCGAAGCTCAACCTACGTTGTCTCGACTGGCTGAAAACCCTTGGCTTGGCCGATCTGACCCTTCTGGCCATCTGCAACACGGTACATTTTCCGGCAGTACCAAGTGACCCCCCGACGATACCATCGGACAGTCCGCCCTCGTGTTCCACGTTGGTCAGCAACCATCTAAGATGCCACCACACCAACTACGAATTCTTGGCAATCGACAGAGAAACCGTGATCTCGAGTGAACATCGACTATTTTGGTCCGATTGATGGTCTTTCCTATCTGGTCGTGGTTGATGCCTATTCCAAATGGCCTGAAGTGGTCGCCATCAACCCACCAACCGCATCCGTTACCCTGGGTTGTCTACATTGAATCTTCCGTCAACATGGACACCCCGAGGTCTTGGTGTCCGATAATGGATCCCAGTTTACGTCTTGCATGTTCGGAGACTTGTGTCGTCGGCATTACATCCAACACCTGCGCTCACCGCCCTACCATGCACAGTTCGATGGTCAAGCGGAGAGCTTTGTTGACACCTTCAGGAGGGCACTCTTGAAATCTCATAGGGAGGGTACTCAAGATGAAGGCCTTGCGTTTCTGCTCTCTTATCGGTTCACACCATATCCAGCCGCTCCAGGATGCCAGTCTCCAACTGAAGCACTGTTGGCCCCAGTCTACGCACTACAAACGAAGCGCTCAACCCGACTGAAAAGCCACCAAGTCAATCTACTGCCTGCACCATACACAATGAGTTCGTCGTTGTAGCCCCGGTATACGCTCGCGACTATCGGGCAGATCATCCACGCTGGATCAAAACAACAATAACGGCCTGTCAAGGTGATATGCTACATTATGTCTCTGTGGCTGTTGACACATGGGTCCGCGATCGCAATCAACTTCAACCACGACACGGAGAACCCTCCACCCCAGCCAGTCTTCCTGTGTACCTGCCGTTGCACATTTTATTGGATATATTCGGAATGTCTACACAACGGGAGACCAGTGTCGAGGCCGCCCAATCGTCGCAACATCTTGAGAACCATCCTTACCGACGAACAAGAAGAATCCGGAGATCACCAAAATCCTCCTCAGAAGCGGTACACATTCTCTTCAAGATGTTGCAGGCACGTCAAGTAACCCCGTATAATGCGCCACAAAATCCTGTGCGTGCGCTGTGAGACACGGTGTTCAATTCCTGCCCACAACATAGCAGGATCCAGCCACTCTGAGTCGGGACACTACATGGGCTAAAGTGAACAATGTTCTTCCGTAAACGACCAGCCTTACGTGGTGATATTTCCCACAAAATAAACCATTGTGACAACTGTAGGTCGTCCTTTGTGGGTCGTAAAAGAACTCTCACAGGTCCGCTTCGTCTTCTCTTGTCTCCTCTTGTGCAAGGTTGGGAGTCACGTGATCGTGTGTTGCGTGTGCGACCAGCCCCCCGGTCGTGTGCGTATCGTTGTCTGTTTTTCGGGTCTCTGTGTGTCACCCGAATATGTGCGTGAGTAGGGACGGTGCTCAAGTTATGCGTAACTTCCGTCTACGCTAACGCGATCAGGTCTGTACAAATCCATTCGAGTTCGAAACAGAGTTGGTGAGCGACCCGCCTCAACTGCGGCGCTACAAGTTTGTACTGGTGCCCTCGTGTGCTGCTTGGTGTACCGCAGATGCAGCAATGGCCTCTACCTAGGGTAATCACCGGGATATACTATCCGACGCGTCATGATGAGGTCAACCCGCAATCTAGGATAAGATCGGGTGTAAAGCCCTAGTCTCTTACACCGGTCTTCGTACGGTACACCTCGTAAATTGGGTATCAGCCTGCTGGCCTTGTTGTACCCGCTCAATCCTTTCTACCTCGCCCCGAGTGATAGGACAGTATACAAGTAAGCATTAGTCATATTCTTGAGACAAAGAGGCGAGTGGCCATCTCTTTGGACCAAGTGATGAAGCTACGCCTGAGCGCCCAAAACATACAAAGGCCGTTTTGGTAAAGCCTATTCGTTTTGTCCATAGCCTTTAAGTCGCAGCGTGAGAGCACACAAGTCCCGCACGCATGGCGCGGGACGCAACGCTTGGCTGGTCACAGTGTAGATTCAACTGTGCTCACTTTTACTCAGCCTCATAAATTGCGATTTGACCGGATTTATTGGAAGGTTGACTTCCATCGACCGCATAGAGAGGCGGTCGAGGTCACGCTGAAGCAGGTCACAGTCATTGGGTGTGTGGATTACTCTCCGCACCTTCAATTCATCTACGAACAACGCACAAGGCGAACGGAGAAACTGAGGCACATAGTTTCATGGATCAAGAACAAAATGGGCCCCAGTACAGTGCCTCGGGGCACACCACTGGTCGAAGGATACCAGTCGGTCAGATGGTTGTCGATCTGGACCCACTACTTTCGACCAACAAGGTAATTCCTGATCCATCGGTGCAGCGAGCCGACAACACCGCACACCCTCAGCCTGTGGAGGAGCACCTCATTATTCACGTTGTCAAAAGCCTTCCTGAAGTCAGTGTAAATGACGTCGACTGACTTGTCTTGGTTCGGCGCTTACAACCATTCGTGCCTCGTCAACGGTAGGTTGGTAATGCACGAGTGACCTTTCACGAAACCATGCTGTGCGGGCGTCAAGAGGCCTTTCTACTGGAGGAGCTGCACTA